CATGTTTTAAATAAGTAATAATAACCCCCAATGACAGTAATTTTATAGAAATTTGTAAGTTTTAATGGGAACAGAAATAGAATATCCGCAAAAGTCTATTAAAATATCATTGAATTAATTGATTGGTTTCTTTATTAGCCTTTACAAGGATTATTATTATATTATGTAATTCGTGGTACAACGGACTGGTCATGACCTTAAAAATCTTATAGAGTGAGCACAATTTAGAATAACGGCTTACAGACACTAAAGTGCAAGGACGTTTTCTATAATCTGCAAGTTTTTTTCTACTATTACTCAACCGCCTTTTGCCTTAATAAAATTTGTTTGAAAGTGCAAGGAAAAATTATTACAACTCTTTAATGAAACATAAAAAAACTGTCAACTATAAATAATAATTTAATTGAAACATAGTTTTGTGAAGAAACATTATTATTATTGAGCAGAGAACTGGAGATAAAAAGAATTTAATAATGTTTTCACTTTCTCTTTAAATTAATATTTGAACGGAATATTATAATAACCATTATTGAGTGACTGAAAAGGCGCGATATTTGAAACAAGACTTCAATATTTGGTAATAGTAGGACAGGGGGATCGAAAAATTGTTGGTCTAATTAGGACAGCAGTTTTGAGCTTTCATTGAACTATCATAGAAAAGTTGTTTGGAATAAGACGTTAAATATGCACCAGTTTAGAATTTTAGACTGAAAAAGTTGTCGTCTAGGGCTCTCTTTCTTCAACTTTTTATATACCCTAATATCTCGATAAGTATCGTAAAAATTAAACAGTCGCAAATTTGTTATAAAAAATAATATTTTCTATTCAAATATGTTTTTACCAGTAGGAAAAATTTTCATTGATTTTCAATGGGAACCAATGCAAAATTTATAAATTCTATTTAAAACCATTCAATATAAATGGAAAAACAATTGGGTACCTAAAAATGGAGAAGAGCTGGTTTGAGATGATTAAAAAAATGAAGAAAAACATACTGAAGCTGTAAAAATAATAAACAAGACATTATTTGGAATAATCATTGTCATGTAATTCATATTTTTTTTTCGTCGAAAAACCTCATATTTCATATTGATTAAAAAGAATGTCATTTAATTACCACTAACAATAATTAAAGGTAAAAAGTAAAGAATTGACACTAGGATTTTCATTGCATTCAGGAATGGAAGTTCCAATAGATCGCACTTAGTTCGGGAATGGGATTTCCACTAGAATTCTAGTGGCAATTCCATTCATCTCATTGGTAATTCTCCATTTATTACTATTAATTATTTTAGTGGTAATTAAATGGCATTTTTTTAATGGAAATAGAATTTTCCTACGGGTATAGTTTGAAAAAAATGCCGAAAGCCATGTCTAACTACTGTTCAACATACAACCAATTAAAAAGCGATTTTCTAGATTTGATTGAACCACATCAACAACAACAACAGTTATAACGTCGAACCTGTTCTTATATTCATACACTTGTATTGATTAAAATGGTCCAAACGGTTTTGAAATTAGTCGCAAAGTTTACTAGGTCACTGTAAATTAAGAAATTGTATCAAGGGTAGCTCCATTCACGGTTTTTACTGTCACCAAATCCAAAGTACTTATAGCACATTGTACAGCCATAACTAAAAAGAAAATTCATAAGGAAATGCTTTGATTTAATACGCACATAATATTATATGGTGATATTTTACTTTCTTTTAGTTTATTTAATTATTTAGTTTATTAAACCACTTGACCATATGCATTTTATAACTCTTTGGGCGTTATTGGAAATTTTATAGCAGTTACTTTTACATTTACTGAAAAATTGCTGTTACAACGTTTGTAATTAAGTTCAGTTTAATGTTGAGGTACATGTCGTTATATCTTTAAATGTACGAGAAAGTGTTTTGTTTTTAATGCTGAAGATATTTCACCTCTATCACCATAAAAATGTATTACGAACAATTATTACGCTGGGAAGATAATTGTCATTAGAGTGTGTTCAATGACAAGGCCTCCTTAAGTTTAATAAAATCATTAAAATTCAGGCAACGTAATGTAACATATTATTGAAACTTGTCGTCCAAATTAGGCGAAGGGAGAGAGAGAGCGAGTGGGTTGGTTATCATTAACAATTTTATTACCTTGATATAACCGATTCGATTCTATTTTCCGTTTTTCCTTCGAGATTATTTGAAATTACATTTTTACAAAAACGACATAAATGGGTAAAGAAAAAAACGTATATACAAAAGAAAGCTACAGTAGAAGCAATTTGCGATGAACAAGAAAGTTTTACACTTGAGAAGTTGTCACGAATCATTTTTCTTGCGGCGTTTGAAAATTATAAGAGGACAAAAAAGATTCTTTTAAGAAATGTAGTACAGCTAACAGAAATTGATTTAAAACTGTGTGATTTTATCTTTTTTTCATTGGATCTATATGCTCTAATTCAATATTATAAAAAGGAAATTAAAAAACTGAGAGTTTGCAGACATTAATGTGCAAACATAGATCATGATCTGTGAAATTATTAACTAAAACTTTCAACTATAGACTATGTATATCATAAATTAATAAGATCATCATCCTGAAATCATAACTGATGCTTCCTTAATCCTCAAATCGGATGGATGAGATGCACAGAATTTGATTTCCTTTGCGCTATGGTTGTCTTTTTATAAAAGAATAAAGAAAATCCGAATCTTGTCTTGTGCTGCTATAATTCTTGTTTGATATTACTTTGATATACTGATTGATATAAATATATTATATATAAATGTGAAAAGTTTAATTTGCTAATTATTTACAAGGAAACTTTAATAAAATTACGATCTCTTTGGAGAAAGTAACATTTTGAGCTTAGATTTATTCATGTTAAAAGTTAAAATTTGTTATTTTGCCACGACTAATTTAAATTTTTACTTAACCAAATGCTCTATTCTAATTTATTACGTTTATTACACTGTGCGCTTTGTTAAATTATTAGGATAAAAAGCGCCAAATTGCTCATATTTTCTGTTACAAATTTTACCAGTCAAAATTACACAAAGTGAGAGACGTATTTTTTTAATAGTCTCCAATTAGTGATGACCACGAATGCGGTTATGTATGCAATATTTAAATGCAATGTTTTCGTCGTTTATTGTTAACAGTTATTATGAAATGTACGATTTCCACTCTTCGCTGATTAGGAAATAATAGAAATTTAAATGGAGCTTCGTTACAAAATCCTATTTTAATATTGCTTGAGAAATGTTATATCGAAAGGATTGTACCATTAGGTATTTACTACAAGACGTTCTTATTTCATGAAAAAATGCGGTCTTTTATAACGTATGTTTATGTTAGTGTTTCTTTTTTGTTGTGTTTCTTGGCCTAGATTTTGATCATTGTTATACTATTTTAAACCAATATTTAAAAAATTATCAATATAGGTTAACAATATGCATTATATTTTTCAGAAAGTTATAGTGAAGGTTTTTATTGAAAGTATTGTTAGTATTAAACTATATTTTAATATTTATGTCAGGTTAGCACATAAATAATATTAAATGGGTTGATTATAAAATTTAGTTATTCAAAATATCCGTCGAAATAGTAGAACGTGGACCTTGACGGTCACCGGTCAACTCAAAAAATACCTTAGTAGACTGTCCGATAAGTACGTCATAAAACATGCTTTTATTAATAAAGAATGTTTCTAATTACTTTTCTAAAACTGTTTTTGTTTCCTCGAAATGTCTGCTCTCAATTAACTGTTGTTCCTAATTAGATCACTGTCGTCTACAATTAAATGTTTTAATAATGAATGTATACAAATTTAAGTTAGAAATGGATTTAAGCAAATAAATTAAAAATCAGTTGTTGCAGAGGTTTCGAAAATTCATTTTATACATAACATTACGAGCGGCGTCATATTGCGTGGGATATAGGTAGTTTAGAATGTCATGAGCCTTCAGATACGCGAGAGGCGGATGTTAATTGCATTAATATTGTACATTTGGAAAACATTAACTTGGTTGTTATTCATTTGATTCTATATAGAGCCATGAATGAAGTTGGAGCTCTTGATAAACTGTTTATAACATTCGATGCTTTTAAAGAGTAGAACTGAAGAAATCAATGAGTTTTGTCACTGTATAACTCAAGACCAATGTTCTTGCCCTTCTAAATTACCTCTAACAACATGATGAAATGTGACCGGTAGCAGTAATAGATTTTAACTTCCAAGGGTGTTTCCAGCCCTATTTGAGACCATTGGATGAGTGGACAGTTGATTGCTACGATAAGACAAGACAAGTTAACTTGTATACAGTTAAAACTCTGCGTGAACTCAACTTCAACAAGTTAACATTGTCATTTCAGGAAAAGTAGTTGTAAAATTACTTTTGATTTAATAATTTTACTAGAAATTCATTGCGGAACGTTGAGTTTCTTTTGAAACTTCCTAGTTGTTATGTATGGGTTGTTATGTTTAGCTAATAAAGGACAAACTAAAGTAGGTATTTGTAAGAAGAAAAAGAAGAATCTGACAATCTTTTCTCTATTTCATTTTAATTTTTAAGGTTTGAACGGTATCCCGAATGTTCTTACATTATAGGATCTCTGATTGATTTGTAACATAAATTGGAAGGATAAAAAGGCTAAGTCATAATGAATAATTACTCGATATTCGGGCTCTGATGTAGTATTGGACCCTTATATAGGATCGGTTATCCTCCTTCCGTGAGTCCATTGATGAAGTTGTTTATCCGAAGTTTCGCCAACCGCTGTGGTTATCATCTTGGTAGACCGTAGGTAGGATGAGAAAACTTTGGTTGTTTTGAGACTAAATCTAAACTAAGGGTGGCGAGACATCGGATAAACGACTCCATCAGTGGACCGAAGTAGAAGAACCAATCCTGGACCACTGCCATCAATTCCGAATATCGGGCTCTCTTCAGAAACGAGGTAGTTTTTAAGAGTAACACAATTTAGGAGAATACTGTTAAATATCTTACCTTGCAAGCATATAATTTTCATCCTGGTATGGCAAGGCATTGCTAGGCCGCTAAAACAGAAAGAATCGAGTTAATTTTTTTTTTATTCATACTTAGTTAGATATTTATTGATTTGAGATTTGTTAAGATGAAATTATGACATCTTCTTATGCATTAGCGTTTAAATAAGTTGAGATCAATGAGGAATGTTGGACAAAAATATTTTTATTGCCCATAAAAAAAACATCGCTATTAAATGAAACCAATTTAATAACCTGCAAGTACACTTAAAAGCATTTGTCATAGACTAAGTTATCGTACAAAAGTCATTGAATTATACCATAATACTTAGTTTAGTGAAGGTAAACCATGATGGACATGATAATTTTCTTAATAATCACCATTAAAAACTATTGCTGATTGCATGGCCAACCAAGAATGCAGTTTTCTTAAACCGATAATATGCTATATCTAATTGCATTAACCATCAGTGCTTTATGCAATTGGAATTATGGAAAGCGTTGTAATTTACAATTGTAGTGAAACGGACTATAGGTAATTCTAGTAGTCAATTTTCCTTATTGTAAAGCATCTACAATTTTTTAGAAAAAACTGAGAAGATAAAGCAGATATAGGTCCTGACTTTTTGGATTTTATTGTTAATTGATTAAAAAATTAAGCAAATTATTTATGGATTCGTTTAACGAGGCAATTAAAAACAACCGAGAGGTACCTAATCTACAATACCCAAATGATTTTCAGCTGTTAACCTCAAATTATTTATTATAGTTTCATGCTTTACTAACAAAATTGCGAAAACGCAACTAGTGGTCAAGTGAAATAAACGGTTTTCTTTTGCTTTTATGTACCATTTAATTAGTTGTGCCATAAATTAAATTTACCGTATAAATGGTATTATTTGCATTGTTATTCTTTCCCGAAGATTTAACACAAACAACAGTCCAGTTGTTGAATTTAATGTTTTGGAACGCATTCGTGCCAGGCCAAGAAACATTTTTTTTTGTAAAGTACCTACACTTTATGAATAGATGAATAAGTATGATAAAGGATTAATATCACATATCATATATGAACGTATAGCCTTCTCTTTCGTTTAGAAACAGTTGAGTGGAACAAAAGTAACTGTAATATCTTATACGTAACAGAAATAACGCCTTCGAGAGGTATCCATTAAAGGACTTTGCATAACCGATTTTTTTTCTTCGATTTAATTCCCGCTCGCGCAATTGCTACTGCTTATTACCACTATCCTTGATGTTATCAGCCACCCACTCATTGCCATTTGTTTTATTTAATTGTGGCAAATGACTGCCACACATAATATTAATTATCGAAATGCGATCAACAAATACAACGAATTCTGCATGTCATGGTGTTAGGTATACCCCTTTACTAAAACGACCTTGCAAAGTGCTGACTGACATTTGCCATTGCAATGGAGTCTGAGTGAATGAGATTGTATTCTTCTTTCTATTTATGTTAATACGGTCACGAGTTTGTTTATTTTATAAATTCGAGTTACATTCCCATGTTCTTGGCACTTTTTAAAAAGAGTACGGCTCGCTTGCCCGGTATATATTCGCTATTTGTGTATGCCTTCTATGACCCAGGTACTTACCTATATATTTTTTTAAATTATTATATTCAACGACCAGGGTGTTTATAAAATACGTAGCAAGCTTGCTGGAGGCGATAATACACTACAGAAAAGAAAATTAAGTAATTGTTTGTGTGGTTCGAAAGTCTATTGTTTTTGAGGAAACCGTGTTTGAAATTACGGGCAAAAGCCAGCCTGGCCCTGATCGGATCACGCACGTAAATACGTTATTACAACGCCGTATTCAATCAGCCTCATCCATGTTGTATTTCTTTTGCATTGTTATTAAGTATGATTGACGCTGCAAATGAAGTACCTACGCATAGGAGTATTGGTGAACCCAGCATAAAAAAGATAATGCACCTTGACCTCAATAGTGGTTTCCAAAAATAAAATTACTATTACCTATTCAGAGCATAGTTATTTACCTATTAATTTTTACATAACGTTACTTTTTATTTCTTTTCTGTCTCAATACCACGTCGATATGAACTTTAAATAATATTGTATACTATCAGCGATGAACAAGATATTTTATTGATAGTTATCGCAATGAGCGAGATTATTATATGTAGTAGCGTCGTGGTGCGCTGCTTTATTCACTATGCGATTCCCTTTTGCATGTAGTTAGCACTCTTCAAAACTTGCTACTTATTTAAGAAACACCCTTTACAACTGACGGTTACCCCATTTTTAGAATTTTGTTACCTTTTGACTCGACTGTATCTGAAATTTTTAAATGGTTGATACTCTTTTTCAACATTTTAGGATGCGATTTTCGCAAAATCCGTTTTTACTGCGCTTCTATTTAATGGTCAGAAACTGTTGTCGAAATTTCATTAAAATCGACCCAATAACTTCGGTTGTGTGTTGATCATCAGTCAAGTCAATCAGTCATTTAGGACAAGTTCCTTTGTTATATAGAGATTGGTTTTTCATACAACCTTCTCAAAAATTGTGGTTGACATTTAAGTAAGCAATGTTACCATTGTTACCTATAGATTCTGTTTTCTAGTCGTTCCATAAAAGTAAATCAATTCTGAAATACTGTAAGTGTACGCCGCAAGTATTTCACAATATTTTAGACTAAAAGAGGCAATGCCGACAGCTTTCCACGATTTCAAAATAAACCGCTTTATATTTTAATGCTATCAGTAGTCCGTTATTGACAATCACAATGGACATGGGTGTAGTTGTATGTGGGTACAGGATTTACACATGTTTCCTTTTATAATACTAACAGTTACTAGCAATTAAAATGCACATTGCACTTAAACAAAAAGCGCAAACCGGTACATTTAATTACAATTTAAAAGATAAAATGACAATTATTGTAGTCATTAAAACTAATCAGTCAATAAGCTAGTAATAAAAGGATTTAAAAGGTTCTTCCTGTTAGTGGAAAATTGAATCAATAATTGATTTTAAAAATTTATAAAGATGGCATATTTTTTGAATAAGTGATTTTCTCAATCAAAGAAAAAGGCCTTTCTTCTCAGATACATTATTATTTAATTATCCAAAAATTTTAATAAAAAATTGCAGTCATGAAAAGTAATAATTATTATTAATTACTAAGTCCTTTTTGGATCAACAAAATATTTGAAAAAGCGAACGAATTTTGTATTACTTGTTATTAACATCTACACTTTTATGTGTATGATAAAACTAAAAATTTTAATAAAATAGGCTAGTAGCAAAGTTATCCTTTTCAAAAACCACAAGAAAGGGATTATAAAGAAAAGTCCTGATCTACTTGATTATTTTTTGACTCGAAAAAATATTTAAAAAGAACTTGCAGTTGCTGTTAATTTTAATTAATTTCTCCTCATTTATTCTATCGGAGATTGAAGACCATTAATCAATTTCGCAATTAAGTATTGGCAATTACCAATTGCATCTATCATCTGCCAATTAAGTTAACATATTAGATCTATTTTTTACGAAATAATCGATCAACCTTGAAAGGTCTATCAAAAAAACATAAAAGTTTTTACTATATTAGGTATATTGTAATGCGTAATAAAAAGTTTTCGCGAATTCACTTTCTCCTAATGGTTGTTTATAAGTACTTAAATGTTAGATACGTTATAATGTAACGTACTTAGTTACGTACACTAAATTCCTCATTTTAAACAGAAAACTTGTTTGTTTAACGTGTATCTGAAATATTTTAAGTTTAATTCCTTAACATTATGTGATATATTATGGAAAAACCATTAATTTAGGAGTTATGTAGCTGTATGAAGAAAGAAGAAATTATATGTATATTATATGGTATATTGACTTGTTAAGTATTCAGTAAATAAATAATAAAGCAATCGAACATAGCACAGAGTGGTACGACTTTATCTTGACCTGTGCTTTGAATAACAATTTGATTTCATAATTAATTTTTTATTTTTAAAATTTATGGGTGTGATTGAAATTCAAAACGTTTTCATTAAAATTATTGAAACAACGACATTCGACATTATCAAATAAAATAATAACGGGTATATCTATAACAGAAAAGGTTACTATTTACTGTTACTAAATTGTGTGTAGTTTCAATGAAAAGATATTTGAAAAGTGAAATTGACGCAGAGGTGTCCATTATAAATATATACAGTTACTTATTTCTATATTTAAGATGTATTTTGAAAAGTAAATATACCAAAAATAATATAATGTAACTCGTGATCAAGTCTGACATAGAAAAACACGAAATTTGGAAGTTGAAGCACGAGAAAAAGTTTAGCTACGAAAAGTGTAACTTTACCAGCGATTTTGTTGATTAAAATATGACGAAATGAATTACTATTGATTAAATTGTAAAAAGTCGGGTTATAATAAGTCAGGACGGAAGGAGTAGTAAGGATATAATGTAGAGGATAGTCCAGGGTCGAGTCGCCTTCAATAAAAAGAAAAAACTTTTGGGTGTTTCATTCCCACCAGCCAGTAATGCTGGTGGGCGGGCAGTCCCTCCGGGCTATGCCGGAAGGCCCTCTTCAGCCTGCTTTCAGGAATCGTGGGAATGGGTGGGTGGTGGTTTGGGTGAGAGAGATGAGACGGACGAAAATGAAGACAGAAGAGAATGAAAGATTATCTGTGGAATATTACTGCCTTAGCATTCGCCTAAGTGATCCAAGGAAACCACAGAAAAACTTGGACCAAGGCAGACGGACAGACCCGGAATCGAACCGGCGTCCTCCCGAATGCTAAGCAATGGTCTAGACCTCTAGGCCATGCCGCTCGGTAATAAAAAGAAGTCACTTCCATGCTTGCGAACGATTAATTTAGGAATTCGAAAAGGATGTTTGGAGCGCGGCGCGGTACGGATGCGAAACATGGACGGTAGGCGCGGCGGAAAAGAAAAGGTTAAAAGCGTTCGAAATGTGAGGACACCGTGGATTGAGAAAGTTAGAAATAAAGAGGTATTAGAAAAAATAGGAAAACAGAGGACTGTATGGA